TTGGTCACCTGCTGAAAGAGATCTTTAAAAGAAAGCTCTGAGGAATATTTTAGCCAAATTCCTGAGTTCCCAGATCAAGGAGAAAATATTGCTAGCAGCCAGAAAGAAACAATTCAAGTACTGTGGAAACACAATCAAGATAACACAAGATTTAGCAGCTTCTACATTAAGGGACCACAGGGCTTAGAATATAATATTCTGGAGGGGAAAGGAGGTAAGATTACATTCAAGAATCACTTACTCAGCAAAACTGATTATAATCCTTCAGGGTGAAAAATGGACCTTCGGGACAGCTAGGTGGTACAGTGTATACAAGCACCGGCCCTAAAGTCAGGAGGACCTGAGTTCAAATCCGGCCTCGGACCAAACACTTGACACTTACTAGCTGTGTGACCCTGGGCAAGTCACTTAACCTCAATTGCCTTAAATAAATAAATTTAAAAATTTAAAAAGTTGGACCTTCTGTGAAATAGCAGACTTCAGAGCATTCTTGATGAAAAGACCAGAGCCAATTAGAAAATTTGACTTTCAAATACAAGACTCAAGAGACACATGAAGAGTTAAAAAGGAAAGAGAAATCATAAGAGACTTATTAAGTTTAAACTGTTTACATTCTGCATGGAAAGATGATATTTGTAACTCATGAGTCCTTTGTCACATTAGAGTGGTTGGAGAGAAAAAAATATATGTGTAGATAGATAGATGGATAGATAGGATGGATAGATAGATAGAGATAGATAGATAGAGGACACAGAGTGAGTTGAAGATGAAGGGGTGATATCCGGAGCATAAAATTAAGGGATGAGAGAGGATTATACTAGGAGAAGGAGAAAGGGAGAGGTAGAATGGGGTAAATTATCTCACATAAAACAGATAAGAAAAGCATTTTACAGAGGAGGGTAAATGGGGGAAGGTGAGAGGGAATGAGTAAATGTTATTCTCATTGGAGTTGGCTTGAGGAGAGAATAACATACACATCAATTGGGGATAGAAATCTATCTTACCCTACAGAAAATAGGGGGAAGGGAAGTGGATAAGAGAGCAGGAGAATGACAAAGGGAAGGGTAGATTGGGGGAGGGGTTAATCAGAAGCAAACACTTCTGAGGAGGGACAGGGTCAAAAGAGATAATAGAATAAATGGGGGGGTGGGATAGGATGAAGGGAAATATACTTAGTTTTTCACAACATGACTACTATGGAAGTGTTTTGCATGACTACACATGTATAACCTGTATTGAGTTGCTTGCCTTCTCAATGAGGGTGTGTGGGGAGGGAGGAAGGGAGAAGATTTGGAACCCCAAATTTTTAAAACAAAAGTTAAAAAAAATTGTTGTCACATGTAATTGGGAAATAATATACACATTAAATACTGCCCTACAGGAAAATTGAAGAGTAAGGAGATAAAAGAAGGGGGTGGGGAGAGAGATAGAAGGGAGGGCAGATTAGGGATATTCAGAATGCATGACATCTTAGAGTGGGGGGGAGGGATGAGATAGGGAGAAAATTTGGAACTCAAAATTTTGTGGAACTGAATGTTGAAAACTAAAAATAAATAAATTAATTAAAAATTAAGAAAGAAATAAGAGGAAAAAAGGGTGCAAATATGAGAACAATTGGAAAACAAAATGACTTTTTTAAATATCTAGGTCAGGCTAGATTTTGCTTTATTGAAAATTATAATATGTCTCCTTATCTCGTATGGATTATTATTTCAGGTAGGTTAGATATATTTTCAATTTCTCTGCAATGTACAAAAGTGGTTTTTATGACCTAAGGGATTTACAAATTATGAATAAAGTTTTGCATGCCCTTATGGAGAAAAGTAGTAGAAGAGTTTGAAATGATAAAATACACAAATAAAGGGGGATTTGTGGGTTATGCTATAGACTGTATTCATGTGGCATAAAATGTTTTATCAGGGTGGTAGACAACAGATGATGAATACTACTGTAGCTAACTTGCCATATTATTCATGATCTGAATAAAAAATATTTAAAATCAATGATAATAAAAAATGAAATAGCACAGAAACATGGTGTTTTAGAAGAGAGAATTTCAGAGGGCATTTCAAAACCTTCATTTCATATTTATAAATAGAAACAAAAGGAAACTGAGATTCAAAGAGATGAAGGAGGTAGTGGCAGAGGCAGTACTAGACCACTGGTCCTAAATCCTTCCTGGCTTATCTATCTGAACAACAGCCTTGTCTTTGTTAAAAAGGATATCTTTTACTTGTTGGCATTTGTCCTTAAGTGACAAATCCTCCACACTAGGATGAGATTTGGTGAGAGGACTAGTGGCCCTACAAGTACATATCCCATCTCTTTCTTTTACTAGCTGTGTAACTTTAGGCAAATCTAAATACTTCTGTGTCCTCATCTGTGAAATGATGGGGCTGTACTAAATGATCTCTAAGAGCCCTTCCAGCTCTGACCTGTGACCTTTCAGGGCCATTAAACTTGGTATTGTCCCTGGCATTTCCCATCAGTGCATTCTCGATAAGATCACAGCCCACTGTACACAACAGCCTCCCTCTGCTGTATTAGCCTTCTTGAGGTCTGATAACTGTCTTCTGGCCCCTGTGATATAAACTGGCTACATTCAGTACATTCAGGTTGATTTGTGTAGGAAGATGATGTTGCGCAATTAAAATTGTGGTTTCACAAAAAGCAAATAGAGTATCAATTTTTAGAGAACAGAAAAACAAAAAACTTTTGGTATTCAATGTTTTGGATACATTGTGGCTTTGCTACCATAAACCTGAATTAAAATATCAAAGTAATCAATAGAAATGACTAGGGTGGTGCTGAACCCCAGAATATCACAATTTGTCAAAGTACTAGAAAACTCATGAATTCTATTTTTTTGACAAAATTGGGGTTATTCACAATTAATGTGTACAAAAGAATGTAATGAATAATGGCAAGAAAGCAAATGTGGGTTCCAGGGAAGTGAAAATGACTACTAGGCCCCAGGACCAGGGCTCAAGCATACTCATTCTTAATGTAAATGCTTGGTTCCCTTGGACAATATGATTCATATAAAAATGTATATGCAAAGGTTTCATTCTTAGTGAAAGTCAAAGAAAAAAGTTCTCACTTCATTATTGCTCTAGTGTTCACTATAAAATAATGAAGATATGAGGTTTATGGCAATAGCTCACTGATTCCTCAAAAGTTCAAAAGAACTGAGAGATCATCGATTTTGAGTCTAATGAAGGGATAAGCGATGCCGTTACTGCTACAGTTACCTATCAAATGATGACATTTTACCATTGTTTTTGATTAACAGAAAATGAGGTGGAAGAAATAAATGTCTCATAGTGAAAGATGAGTATTTGAAGGAAAGCAGATATGTTTTATAGTAGTAAATCATTATATTAACTTTTCTTTTTATTCCTATCCCTAGTTCTTTTAATGTTTTACAATTCTAACATTAATACATTTGTGAATACACTGTGATTTTGGCTTGCATAGAAAATGTTATTGGTTACTATATATTTCATAATGTCAGTGTTTACATTCTGATATATTCCTTGAACATATTTATGAATAGCTCTGTCACTAATACGCCATACTCTTCAATTGTCCTTATATTTGTGTAGTGGACTATAACTTTTTTTTTCTTGATTAACTTCACAGACACTACATCTTCATTGAGATTACTTACTATAATTATTTTTATTAAAATTGGATTAGGGATTTTAAAAAAATGTGCTTAAAATTTTTATATGTAGTTAACATGGTAACTATTACTTATTGAGGAATAGAACTTCGCTTTTTTGCACTTCAGTGTTTGTCATAACAATTTCATGTACGTAGCTATAGATAGACTACAAATGAACAAAATGAGGGAAAGTGAGGTTCAGTTGTCACATGACTAGCTATAGGGAATTAAAGTATTTTATTGGAATATAACATTTTTAGGCAGTAGTAATATATACTTAAAATTAAACACTGTCTTTTCTGCCATTGTGATTTCTCATTTCTTTTAAGGAAGGTTTACATAGGTCATCTCTTTTAATGTACAGTAGTTAAGAGCACATGATAACTCTATCCTTTTAGTTCCATTAGCATGAGCTCATATCTCAGTTTTCTGATAATCTAAGCTTTCTGCTCCTCAGTTTTGTCACCATTCAAATGAGAGTAATCTGAATATCCACACTATCTTTCTCACAAGTTAATAGGTCAACTAATTTGAAAAAAACAATCTTATAAATGTGAGATGAATTTATTATTACAAGCCCAGATCATTAAGATTCCAAATGGCCCAGCTGGTAGGATTAAATGTTAGGAGCTAAGTCAGAAAATCTTCTCTCTTCTAAAGTTTAACTACCTGCATCACACAGTTGGAGGTGGGCACATATACAAATATTTACCAAAAATCTATGAATATATGCATTTCCTTTCAAACCTCTATTCCCTGATCCCTCTAAGTCCTGTGGCTTTTGTATTCTCTTTAGAATAAAGCAAAAGCTTTATGAACATTTTAAAATTCAGGAAACATTTAAAATGTACATATTTCCAAAGCTCGAATAAGTGATTTACACAGTTCCAAAAAAGAAAGTGGGCTCTGCTCTCTTGCTCTTTTTCTGTTCGATCTTTATATACTCATATAGTCCATCGGTCCGTGTATGTGTGTCAGTGTGGGTGTGAATGCTACAGTTACAGAAGTCTCTTATATGTATTATTTATAAAATGTATGTAAAACTTGGAAAAACTTAAAGAACTATAAAAATGGCAGTTATCATCATTATTACTTCTGAAAATTCTGATCTCAGATTAGCCGACTCTATTTTCTATCCTGTCTCTTGCTTATGTCCTCCTAAACTTGGAGAACCTAACTTTGCCATTTGCCCAATTTCGTCTTAGTGCCTTGAAGTATGCTTGCCAGATGCTTGCTATATTATGCAACTATGAAAGTCCCCTTCAACTATATGAAGGAAAAAAATCTTTCAAATGCAATTGTATAAAGATAATTAGAACTATAATGCTCGTACTTACATAGGATGACAAGTGGCTTTGGCATGGTGGCAAGCTGTCCATAGAAATTTATCTCGGCAAGAGATGTCCACATCATATTGAAGAAGAAGATTGACTATGCTTATTGATTTACCCCTGGCAGCATGCATAAGGGCTGTTCTAGAATAACAAAGAAATAATTCACATTTAAGAATTTAAACAAGTCACATTTAATCAGATTTTCTTTTATATGTTTCAATAAGAGAATATCTCATATTCTTTAGAGTGAATACACATGTGGAGCATGCTTACTGACAGATACAAGTACTTTTCTTACTTATGTGAAGCAGGAAAAATGGCAATGAAAAAGCAGAAGGGAAGATAAGAAAGAGAGGGGTTTTTTTTGTCCCCTTAGAGTTTTTGCAGGGATTGTCAAATTTAAGGCTTTATGATAGACAAGAAGACAATATGTGAAAGCCATGTGTGTGCAACAGTTAAGTACTTTCTCCTATGGATCCTACACAGTTTTCATGTGGAGAAAACCAGAATTAAACCAAAACTTTGATCTCCAATATCAAGATCCAAGAGAAGCATAAACAGTGAAAAGAGAAAACATAAGGGAATCAGTAGAGCTAAACTGTTTACATCCCTACATGGGAAGATAATACTTTGCTGCTTAAAAATCATATCAATAATAGTACAGATAGAAGGAACATACATAGACAGAATTCTGAATACAAGGTGAATTTGAGGGGATAACACAAAAATAATTAAGCTATGACAAAGAGAATTACACTGAGTGCAGAAGGAAGGAAGAGATTGAATGTGTTAAATTTGAAGATGATAGGAGGGTGGGTGAGGGCCATTGATTGAACCTTACTGTCATCAATATTGGCACAAAGAAGGAATAATATAGACAATCATTTGAATATAGAAATCTATATTACCGAACAGGGAAGTAGGAGGGCAGAATATGAAGTTAAGGTAGGGGGAGGGTGTGGGAGAACTGACAGAAGGGAAGGAAGATCAGGGGAGGTGTTAAACGAAGCAAAACACTGGTGAGTAGGCAAAGGGTGAAATGAGAGAGAGGAGAAGCAAGGAAGAAAAATAGGATGGAGGGAAATTCACAACTAATAATCATAACTGTGAATGTGAATGAGATGTACTGTCCCATAAAATGGAAGCAGGTAGGAGAATGGATTAAAAACCAGAATACTACACTATGTCATTTACAAGAAACACACTTGAAGCAGAGATGTACACACAGAGTAAAGGTATGTGGTTGGAGCATAATCTATTATGCTTCAGCTCAAGTGAAAAAGCAGGGGTAGCCAGCCTGATCTCAGAAAAATTAAAAGCAAAAATAGATCTAATTACAAGAGATAAGGAAGGAAACTATATCTTGCTAAAAGATACCATCGACTGTGAAGCAATGACGGGGTGCTTGGGTGCCTGTGCTTGTTCTTGGACCCCAATTTCTCCCTAGTCTCAGAAACCCTGTCTGTGACAACCACTCCCCAGCCCTAGGACACTGTGCCTAGAAGTTATTTATGCGTGGGCCCCAGCATGACCCTTATCTCTCTCTCCCTGGTGCAGCTACACCAAGCTGGAAGAGAAAGTGCTGGGCTGCTCAGGCCTCAGCCCTCACATCATGTCTCTGGAAGCCTCCCAATTCCTTAGTAAGTTCCTGTCTTGTGAGAAAGCTTTCCCTTGTTGCAGAGCATTCTATCATCAAGACAGAGGGAGTTTTGTCCTTGGCTGGCCCAAGGACTCTTCCTCCTGCCAGACTCTAAGGATCCATACCTCCGTCATCTCCCTCCCCGTCTGGTATACTCCCTGTACTTTCCCATCCATAGGTCCCAAAGACACCTGCACCTTTGGATTACCTCATCAGTGTCCCTGGCATTCCTTTCCCATGCCCTTTTCCATGTAAACCCTCGCTCCATCCTCAGTCTCTCACAGGTTCCTTAAGAATCCTTTCCCGTGTACTAATAAATCTTTGCCACCTTGATTTAAGGAATGCTTGAGTCCGTGAATTCATTCCAGATGACTCATCCTGTACTCCAGTCTTTGAAGGGTTTCAATCTCTCAGACCGTGACAGCAATAACAATACTAAACATATATGCACCAAGTAGTATAGCATCCAGATTCTTAAAGGAGAAGTTAAGTGAGTTAGAGAAAGAAATAGACAGCAAAGTTATACTAGTGGTAAACCTCCACTGTCTCCTCTTAGAACTCGATAAATGCAACCAAAAAATAAACACGAAAGAAACTAAGGAGGTAAATAGATTATTAGAATAGTTAGATATGACAGAGCTCTACAGAAAACTGAATGGGAACAGAAAGGAATAGACCTTTTTCTTAACAGCATGTGGTACCTAAACAAAAACTGACCAAGTATTATGGCATAAAAACTTAAAAATCAAAAGTAGAAAGGCAGAAATATTACATGTATTCTCTTCAGATTATAATGCAATAAAAACCACATTCACCAAAGGGAATTAGAAAGACAGATTAAATATCAATTGGAAAATAAATGATCTAATCCTAAACAATAAGCGGGTCAAGGAACAAATCACAGAAACAATCAATAATTTCATTAAAGAGAATGACAATGAAACAACATACCAAAATTGATGGGATACAGCCAGAGCAATAATTAAGAGAAAAGATATTTCTCTAAATTTTTTACGTGAACAAAATATAAAAAGATCATAATCAATTAACTGGTTACCCAACTAAAAAAAAAAAGTAAACTAGAAAAAGAATAAATAAAAAATCCCCAATTGAACACCAAATACCAAATCCTGAAAATCAAACATGAGGTTAGTAAGATTAAAAGCAAAAACAAACAAACAAAAAACTATTGAGCTAACAAATAAATCTAGAAGCAGGCTTTATGAAAAAAAAAAGACAGACAAGCTATTGGTTAATTTGATTAAGAAAAAGAAAGAAAGAAGAAAAGCAAATTACCAGTATCAAAAATGAAAAAAAGTGAAATCATCACCCAGGAAGAAGAAATGAAAGCAATCATTAGGAAGCAGTTTGCCCAATTACATATCAATAAATCTGGCAATCTGAGCTAAATCAATGAATATTTTTGAACATATAAATTACCAAGATTAATAGATCAGGAAACAGAATGCCTAAATAAACCCATCTTAGAAAAAGATATTGAGCAAGACATTAATGAAAGAATTAAGAAAAAATCACCAAGGGCCAATCACAAGGCCCCCCAAGTGAAGTCAATCAAACACTTAAAGAACAGTGAATTCCTATGTAAAATGTATGGCAAAATAGGTGGAGTTGTAACAAACTCTTTTTATGACAAAAAAATTAGTACAGATACCTAAACCAGGAAGAGCTAAAACAGAGAAAGAATATCATAGATCAATTTCCCTAATGAATATCAATGCAAACATTTTAAACAAAATACTAGCAAGGCAATTCCAACAACATAGCACAAGGATTATATACTATGACTAGATGGGATTTATACCGGGAATGCAGGGTTGGTGCAACATTAAGAAAACTATAAGCACAACTGACCAAATCAATTAAAAAAAACCAACAGATATCATATGAATATCTAAACAGATGCTGAAAAAGCTTTTCGACAAATTACAGCTCAGATTCCTATTAAAAACATTGGAAAGCATAGGAATGAAGGGAGCATTCCTTAAAATGATAGGTTGTATCTATCCAAAACCTTCAACAAGCATTATCTGTAAAGGAGATAAGCTAGAATCTTTGCCAATAAGATCAGGGTGAAGGAAGAATACCCATTATCACCACTATTGTTCAATAGTGTAGTAGAAATGCTAGCTATAGCAATAAGAGAAGAAAAAGAAATTGAAGGCAATAGAATAGGCAATGGGGAAACAAATTTATTACTCTTTGCAACTGATATGATGGTATACTTAGAGAATCCTAGAAAATCAACTGAAAAATTACTTGAAATAATTAACAACTTCAGCAAAATTGCAGGATATAAGATAAACCCACATAAATCATCAGGAATTCTTTTTATGACCAACAAAGCTCAGCAGAAAGAGATAGAAAGAGAAATTCCATTCAAAATAACTGTAAGCAATACAAAATACTTGGGAGTCTACCTACCAAGGCAAACCCGGGAGCTGTATGAACACAATCACAAAACATTTTTCGTACAAATAAAATCAAATATAAACGATGAGAAAAATGTCAATTGCAAAGCCAACATAATAAAAATCATAAGTCTGCCTAAAACCAATTTACTTATTCAGTGCTAATAAAACTGCAAAAAAAAAAATTGACAGAACTAAAAAAAAATCACCAAAATTTCATCTGGAAGAACAAAAGGTCAAAATATGAAGGAAATTAATGAAAAAAAAAAACCAAGGGGCCCAGCAATACCAGATATAAAGTAGTAATCATCAAAACTAATCTGGTATCTCAGAAATACAGTGGTGGATCAGTGGAATAGATTAGGTACACGTGACACAATAGTCAATGACCATAGGAACCCAGTGTTTGATAAACCCAAAGACCCCAGCTTTTGGCAAAAGAGTACGCTATTTGACACAAACTGCTCAGAAAACTCAAAAACAATAGGAAACAAACCAATATCTCACATTGTATCCCAAATAAGGTCAAAATGGGTGCATGATTTAGACATAAAGGATGACACCACAAGCAAATTAGAAGAGCAAGGAATCAAGGAATCTGACCTGTCAGATCTATGGGTAAGACAAGAATTCATGACCAAAGAAGAGATAGAGAGCATTATGAAATATAAAATAGACCATTTTGATTATATTCAAATAAAAAGATTTTGTACAAATAAAACCAAGGTAACCAAGATTAGAAGGAAAGCAGAAGGTAGGGAAACAATCTTTACAGCAAGCGTCTCTGATAAAGGTCTCATTCCTCAAATATAAGAGAATGAAATCAATTTGTAAGAATATAAATCATTCCCCATAATAAACAGTCAAATGTTATGAACAGGCAGTTTTTTCATGAAGAAATGAAAGCAATCTATAGGCACGTGAAGAAGTGCTCTAAATCACTTTGGATTACAGAAATGCAAACTAAAACAACTCTGAGGTGCCACCTCACAATTATCAGATTGGCTAATATGACAAAAAATGAAAATGATAAATGTTTGAGAAGATGTGGGAAATTTGGGACACTGACACACTGTTGCTAGAGTTGTGAACTGATCCAACCATTCTGGAAAGCAATTAGGAACTATGCCCAAAAGGCAACCAATCTGTGTACACTCTTTGATCCAGTAATGCCACTATTAGTTCTATATCCCCAAGTGATTGTAAAAAAAAGAAAAGGACCTACATGTGCAAAAAAAATTATAAGAACCCTATTAATGGTGGTAAAATATTTGGAATTCAGGGGATGCCCATCAATTGATAAATAGCTGAATAAGCTGCTGTGTATGAATGTAATGGAATACTATTGTGAGCAGGCAGATTTCAGAAAAAAAAAAACATGGAAAGACTGATCTACGTGAAATGAATAGAACCAGGAAAACATTGTACACAGTTAGTAGGAACACTATGTGATGATCAACTATGAATGACTCAGCTCATCTCAGTAACACAATGATCTGAGATAAATACAAAGGGCTCACGAAGGAAAAACTATCCCACATCCAGATAAAGAACTGATGAACTCTGGATGCATATGGAAGCATAGATTTTAATTTACTTTATTCTTTTTCAAGGTTTTGTCTTTTTGATCTGTTTTATTCTTTCCCAGCTTTAACTAATATGGAAACATATTTTATATGATAGCACATGTATGATCCATATCAAAGTGCCTGCAAGTTTCAGAAGAGGGGAGGCAAGCAAGGAAGGGAGAAAAAATTGGAATTAAAATCTTGTAAAAATGAAATGCTAAAAACTGTCTTGACATGTAAGTGGGGGGAAATACTATTAAAAATTAACATTCAGAAGTGAAGGGTCAAAAAGATACCACACACATCTTTTGAAATATCTGCTCAATGAAAAATCTAAAAACCTAATCTATTACTCTTCAATTTTCATACATTTTTATTTCATTAGGAAGTGATCTTTCCCAAAAATTCCAATGTTGGTGTTAATGAAAATAGAAATATTGGTAGTTCTGTTCTATTTCATAACTATTCATTGTCACTCTCCCAATTCCATAATGAAACCTCTCAGGATGATTTGGCTTAGGCTTCATGTCAAACAACCTACAGGTTTATCTTCTCTTCAATTGCTTTTCATTATTTTGAAGCAAGTCTTCATCTTCTATTCTTTTCCTCTTTAATTTTTTTTTTCACAAATTATGTTTTAGTGTAAGCTTGAGTTCATCTTAGCCATAATAGCTCTGTTTTTGGCAGAGATAGTGTTTCCCAGCTGATGTCATTTCTGGGCTCTTTTGGCCTTCTCTTTGAGGTAACTCCTTTGTACTACACTTTTGAGAAATTACGTATGTCCACTGCCTAGCATAGTGCTTAGCATAGATAGTACTTAACACATGCTTCTTAACTGGGTACTCTGCATGTCCATTTCTCATTTGGGGGAGTTGATAGTTTGTTTAATCACAAGAGGAAACATGACCACTATGACCACTATCTGCTTTTCATCTTTATCCTTTTTTCTCATTTATATTAATTTTGACCTTTATTCTGGACACTCAATGATAAGAATGAACATAGACAGCTAATTCTAGAATTATTCCAACGATTGTAATCAGTCATTTTTGTCTGTTAGGATAATGTCAGGTCCCTGTTTTTTTTTTAATTTTGGTGATAGCAAACAAGTTTCTCACATGCTAATGTTAAAATCACACAAGACTCAATGACCCATGCCACCCAAAAGGATAATTTTGTCCAATGAGTGAGTTAGCAGCATTAAGCTACATGTAAACTGTGAGACATATGCTCACTTAAGGTAGGTTTCCCAATGCTACATAGGATGTCCTGCACAGGGTCCAAATAGAACAGAGACTGTATATGATGGCAAAGATTTACAAATGCTCCTATTTGTGGATGACATTGTGCTAATTGTATCAAGCCCTGAAACAAAAAGTCCTTGATGAAATCCAAACTTAGTCAAAATGCATTAGCGTAAGAATCCACCCTGAAAAAGTGGATGAAAAGTAAATAATTCCTAGATTCCATAGAGTTGAAAGGGCATTCCCATCTACTTGGTCAATCTACATCTTTGTAAAGGTGATTATATGTGAAGGCATACATGCACACTGCTGGGATGGGTATTGAAGAACAGCAGTGCAGGGGGCTCATAATTATTGGGAAAAGGAGATCCAACTGGATCTCATTTGAGAAACTACATAGCACTTCCATTGACCCCACTGCCAAAAAAATTCATTGTACAAACACCAATATTCTCTCAAGAATGCTTTGTGGCCACAGTGATTTTTAAAAAATTCAAAAACCAAAAATGATCTCAGAAGAATCAAAATTGTAGATGATCTGAAAGGCCATGGAAATACACACAGTGAGTATAAGTTGTTTCAGGCAGTAATGACTTTGATGTAGTAAGTGGTATTAGAGACATTCTCAAAGACACTGATAAACAGGAAAAAAAAGTGGATGGCCTAATCTTATATTAAAAATAAAACCATAAAGAATTTTCACTGCACTGGTCCTCATATATTAAAAGAACCAGGAGAAAGCTTCAATGTGTTTCCTGGATCCTCTATGGTGAATTTATGGAATGACAATGATGAAAATCATGTAGGATAAGAAGGCATGGAAAGATTAAAATATGAACCACTGGCACAAGTTTCCACAATGCTAAGATCATGGGTTCATCAAAGTATTTCATCGTATTATTCTCATATTCGTTTGTATTTCTCAATGTGCATATTCTTAAGGAAAATCAAAAGAAGGAAGATGAGAAAGCATACACTACAATTCTCATTGGTGGCATAAGGAGTATTTCATAAAGAGAATCACCTGAATCACTGGAGTACAAAATTTCTGTGGGATAATCTTAACTAACTTAATATCAAACAAATAAAACTGCAAATAGTAATCACAAATTAACAGTTGTTGGCAGGCCCACATGAACTGCTTTCCCTGTTGCAGTCATAAATAATAGTTTCCCTTTTCATACTGGATATTTGTAGACATTTTTCGCCCTTTCACAATGATAATCAGGTTCAATTATTGTTGTTCCATGTGTTCTATGGTTTAAGTTGTTCTTATTCCTCTAGAACCTTTTTTTTATTTCAAGCATTAATTACTGTACCTTTTAGAGTTATCCGAGGCATTCACATTTGCTCCATTCTTTAAGAAAAAATCTACCATATCTAGATTACTTTCTGTAATTGCAACCACAAGTGGTGTAAAGCCTTCCTGCAAAATCATATTAAAGATATTGTTACAGCATGTAAGAATTCTATATGTATACATCAATTCAGGTTAAGGCATTTTGTGAACATCCTGTGAACTTGCTAACAATTTGTGAAGGAGGTATGATACAATGGAATTTTGGAGCGAGAAGACCAATCCTGCTTCTGTTAGTTAATCCCTGGCTGATGATAAGCACATTATTTCACTTCTCTGGGACTTAGTTTCCTCATCTGTAAAATGACAGAATGAAACTAGAGAGCCTCTGGGATTCCTTCCCGCTATAAATTTGTGCTCAGTACATAGAAACCTAGGATTTATAGGAGACTGTTTCATATTATTTCAGGAGTATGTTCCTTTCTTGCTGTCTTTGTGTCATAATCACTTATTGTCTGCATGCAGCCAACCTTATTTCCTCAGTACTCTGCCAAGCTAAAGCTATACTATGGTCAATTTTACATTTGCCTAGTTGTCTTTACCTACTGCCCTCGAGTGTGTACAACCAACCTCAAAACTGAAAAAAATCTTGCCTCAAAGTGGTTAAACATAGAAGGAACTCATTCTCATTGGCATATTCCCTCTCTTCTCTGCCCTCCTAAAGTATGCTTTATGTTTTTTTTTCTCTCTCAAGTGACAGTGACTAAGAGTTAAACCTTTTCTTAAAAATCAGGAGTTGTTCAGTAACTCTAGAAAGGAAAGGGTACAGTCTTTAGGAAATACCAAAATAACCCTCATACACTTAAGAATTTATTGTTACAAAAATTCTGTGTCTGTGTATTTTTATACTTAGTAGGAACAAATTTCAAAAAGATGAAAAAAACTTATACGGCACTTCTAAATGACAAATTAACATTATGTTATTATACATAAAGATCTATTTGTAGAAAAAGCATTGTAAGGAAATATTTGGTGGAACTATCACATTCTGGGGAGCAGACCTAATGTATCATGCAACCAAAATTCTGGAGAGACAGCTGCGATGGAATGGGTAGAGAGTTAGCCTCAAAGTCAGTAAGACCTATATTCAAAGCCTGCCACTCACCCACATATACTAGCTGGGTGACCCTGAGAAGTCGCTTAACATTTCAGTACCCAAGGACACTCCATAAAGACAAGGTTTCTTAAGGGTTTGGGTTTTTTTGTATCATGGATTCCTTTCCAGAATAACGTTTTTAAATGCCTAAATATACAGAATGCAAAGGATGCCAATTACATTAAAACAACTATAAAGTCATTGTTGCGTTTTTAAAGTTAAAAGTATCCCGTGTTAACAATCCCTAGTCTAAGATTAAATCATAGAGCAGGCCCTAGTCTAAACCAGTAGAGGGAGTTTCCTCATTAGGAGGTGAATAAAATCTCCTCCCTTGTTCACCCACCCCTCCTCCCCCACCCCACACTATTAGAAAATTCCAAAGGCCAATGAACTTTGACTACAGAATTATAAGTTATTTTCATTGAAGAAATGCTTCCATGAATATATGAATTATAAAATATGTGAATTGAACACTGATTATACATTTTAACTCATAAAATAGTTTATTATACAAAAGGTGGGCTTCTACCATGTTTTTTGCTTCAATGTCCATGTTATGTTTCAGCAGCTTTGCTGCTATAGCTGTGTTCTGTCCAAAGGCAGCATAATGAAGTGCAGTGTTGTTGATGGTGTCCACAACATTAAGGTCTGCACCACGTTGGAGCAGGATAGTAGCACACTCCTCATGTTGACCCTGTACTGCCTGTCAATATAGTACAGAGAAAGAGACAATAAATACTCTCAGATAAAATTTAGTATATTATAACATCATTCATGATATTTAAATAAATTAGTAAATCATATTTTCTTGATCAGAGAGAAATCAAAATGGATTTCATTGACCAGTGTGATTAACTAGTACATACCTTAATTAAAGGTGTTAGACTATCATTGTCCAGCAGGTTTAGATCGCAGTTTCTCTCTACTAAGAGAGTCACAACATCTGGATATCCATTAGCACAGGCCAGGTGTAGAGGTGTCCTATGGAAATGAGAGAGCTATGTGACTGCTTGATTACATACTACAACAATCAAAATTTTAGACTTATTAGTTAGTGTGATTTCTAACCTAAAATGCATTATTATTCTTATGCCTAAACTCTAAATCACTGCCAAAAATATAGATGGATACTACTGTCACCCAAAGAAATATAAAATATGCATTAGCTCTTTTTGCTCGATATGATGGACAAAATTGCCAAGGGTAAAAACGAAACAAAGCAAAAGAAAAACAGGTAGATTAAAATTTCACTACAGATTGACATGGGAACTCTGCTCAGTTTCTAACCTCAGCTGGTTCACTTCTCTTTAGGCAATTTGATGGCCCCTCATACTTTGGGACTCACCATACTGATGCCAGCCTCAGTGCAGACACCTTACTGGCATAGCCCACCAGCTCAGAACTCATGAGTTCAAGAGATCTGCCAGCCTCAGCCTTACTGGTAGCTGGGATTACAGACGTACATCCCCCTGCCTGGCTGTTAAGCCTAATAACAACTTCTTTCCACTAAGAGTATCCATAATTACAAAACATTTAGTAAAGTAGCTGCCTCAGAAAAACATTTACATATTTGCATATCGTGCATTTGCACAAGCACATGCGCACGTGTGTGCATTCTCCACTAAAATCTTACTGCCATGTAGCATTGGACACTGGAAGTGGATCTGTGCTGCTAAAGGCTATCCCAGCAGGGTACAAGTTTTGGTAATTCTACCATGCTGGCAAGGTTTTCAAGTAAGAGCCTGGTATGTTGCCCCCTTATCATCTCACCAGTTGTGTTCTGCCAAGCCTCAGCCTTGAATCACTCCTGCCATCTACTGTCTTTGTTCCTATACACTTGCTACTCAATAAAGCTGAAGAAAATCATGCACCTGTGTTTACTAGATCCACTACAAATTATGTTACATAACCTCAACTGGGTTCTCACTGCTGCAAGGCAATCATTTGTATTCTATCTCCATAGTAAATTCACTATGCCACTCACCACAGCAGCTCTTGCAACCTTTTCATCCCTCCTCAAACCCCTTGGTTCACTATGTACCTTCTCAGTTAAAACTCTTGCCTTGTATTTTACTGAAAATAGTGAGGCCATTACCTGAGTCCTCCCTGTTCCCCCCTTCTCATCTAACATACAATGCCTTTTGCCACTATCTCTTTCTTCAGCCACCTCATAGGAACAGGTGGCCCTTCTCCTTGCCACTGAGAATGCTTCTACATGTACAAGTGATACCATTGTATCTTATCTCCTCTGATGGGTTGCCCCCTCTATCATTCTATTCTCATTTATCTTCAGTCTTTCCCTGCCTACTAGTTACTTCCCTGCTAGCCTACATACATGCCCATGTCCCCTCCCTCATTCTTAAGAAATCATCACTTGATCAATCTGTCCCCACTCTCATCCTACGTCTCTCTTGTCGTTTGTAGTTAGATGTGAGGAGAAGCCCTTTGACAATAGCTGTCTCCACTTCTCCTGTCATTTTCTTTTAACACTCTACAGTCTGGCTTCCAAACTCTTCTACTAATGTTCTCTTAATTGCCTAATCTAATGGTCTTTTCTCAATTCTCATCCTTCTCCTCTCTGAAGGCTTTCAAACTAGACCTCTCTTTTCCTCAATATTCTCTTCTCTCTAGGTTTTCTAACACTACTCTTTTTTGGTTCTCCTAAAGTATCCCATCCTCTCCTCAGTCTCCCTTGCTGATTACCTCCTAGAATGCAGAGACAATCCCCGCTCCCCAATTTCTTTGTATCTATTGCAGTCAGTTGGGTACCTGATGCATACAGTAGATGCTTAATGAGAGCAGAAATTAATTTTCTGCCTTGACATTTTTACACTTCACATATGATGGCCATGTTTCTTTCCCCACATGGGGCAGCAAGAATGGATAGGAGTGCTGGGCCTGGAGTCAAGAGTTCACAACTGGTCTCAGATACCCATGTAACCCTGGGCAAGTCACTTAACCCTGTTTGCCTCAGTTTCCCCATCTATAAAGGAGCCAGAGAAGGAAACGGCAAACCATTCTACTATCTTTGTCAAGAAAATCCCCCAAACATAGTCATGGGTAGTCGGACACAAATGAAACGACTCAAAACAACATTTCACTGGAAGAGAGTAGTATTTGCTCCCATGTTGCCATTGAGAAAGAAAAAGTATATTGGACCCTGGCTCAAAGTAGAATGAAGGAGTTTCAAATTCACTACAATTGGACAGGCAGGAGGGTGAGGTGATTCCAGCTTTCCGGACTTGCTCTGCAATGTCCAGGAGGCTAAGCCTCACTCTGACCCTGATGGGAGGCACTGCCCTATCCCAGGCACTGAGGACAACAGCTTTTCCAAGGGTGAGTGAAGACACATGGACCCACAAGGAGGGAGGCGTGGGGGGGTGTCTTACGCTGCTGGGGCGGGGGAGGGGGGCTTCCCTTCTCTCCCCCCTTCCCACTCCCTCTTACCGATTCATTTTATCTCGATCGTTCACGCCTGACTTCCTCAGCAGCAGCTGGTGCTGCACCTTCGCCACATCCCCGGTGGAGGCAGCTTTGTGGATCTTCTCCAGGTCCTTGGCCCTAATCAGGTATCCTGAATTAGAGTCAGATTCTTGGACCCCGCTGTCCCTCCGCGGGGGGACGGAGGCTGGAAATGTTCGCTTTCTGCTGAAACTGAAAATCTTTTTCATTTTCGCTACCGGGCTTCAGAGCCAGTCGGGAGAAATCGGGAGGGGTTTTCTCTTGGCCTTTCAGCCTTCTCAGGGACCTCGCCTCCACTACAGAAAACTGCAATGGCCGGAGACTGGAGGTTAAGAGATTCCAGAGCGCCCAACAGTTATAGAAGATTCAAGCCTAGTGACAGTTGGTAGCCCTGGCAACGCCTCGAGGCAGACAATTCCGCAAACATTTATCAGATCCTCCTGTGTCATGCATGGGCCCAATGGAAAAGTCACACACAGGTGAGTGCGCATGTGCTGGTTCCATTAGCTCTCAGTGGGAGGGGTCCAAAGCTCGAGCTCTGAAAGTGGCTGAGCTCCAGGCTGCTTCCCGTGCTCCAGCTTCTTTCCTCTCTAATGCTGAAAAGAGATGCACACAGCAAAGTAGCGGGGATGAGAACCAGGTGTGGCCTCGGGGGAGCGTGCTGGATCTGGATTCAGAGGATTCGGGTTCGAATCCCAGAACCCACTCTGTTATTTCTCTTTGGGAAGATGGGGAAAAGTCCTCCTTCTCTCTGAGCCTCAGTTTCTTCTTCTGTAAAATGAAGACGTTGTACTAGATGACCTCCCAAGTCTCTTCCAGACCTTCATGACTCTGTGAAGCCCAGACTGAAACAAGTGTCATGGGAGTCTGCTCAGTGCCCTGGGACAAATACATTCTAGGTCTCTTTCTTCTGATTCTCCATTCCCCTTTCTTGCTTTCAGGAGAAGGGAGAAAGATTTGTATGGGACAGGGAGCCTGGCACAGGGAGGGTGGAGTTGGCGTTAGCCAGGAAGCCCTGGGTTCAAGCCTAGCCTCTGCAGAATTACAATTGCCATAATGATGCTGTTATTAATGGTGGGAGGGAAGGGGTTACAACAGTTCACTGAAAAAACAAAAGATATGTCAGTTTTAGTTGATCATAAGTTGCTAAAAAAAATTAAACATCCTTAGGCTATAGTAATAGAATAATAATATTTAAATCCCAAAGGATGATTCCATTTAACTCTGGGCTGAAGAAACCCAGTCCAGCCTATCCCTGTTTTAATTATGGATGCTACATATTAGGTGGTGATGGGGTACTTGTGCTCAGACCCCAGTCCTTGGAACATATTTCTCCCCAGCCCAAAGGCCCTATCTCTGGCAGTAATTCATGAGTAGACCCCAGTGAGGCAAATTATCTCTTCCCGGTAGAAGAAAAAGCTGACCTCTGTAGAATTTTCCTTGTATGAACAAGACTATCTTGTACCAGCAGAACTACCATATACAATCCAGAGGTCAAGCTATGGACGTCAATTCCCAACTCCTCAGGCTATCTTATTATAGATGTAGAGGTGTACAGGTAGAGATTCTTTAGAAGTTCTCCTCCCAGGCCATGCCAATAGTGAATGACACCTCTGCCTAAAGGTACAGAAACTGTATGTTCACCACCTAATTAGCAAACTTGGCACACCACTCACTGAACTTTTCCTATATAAGCTTTAGCATCAATCCTGTTAAGTTGTGAGTTCCCTAAGAAGCTCTGCCTGCCACAATAGTGGTACAATAAACTTTTTGCCCCTGGACTGGAAGAACACTTGTGTTTGTGAATTCTTTACAGACAACTCTGACCTGAACCAAGTTATTTTGGGATCCCTGCACCCCTAAAATACATCAGAGAGAAGCCATATGGATGAACTAAAAATGATTAAGATAGAGGAGACCACTGGAAGGTATGTCTATTTTCAAATATGTGAAGGGCCATTGTGAAGACTTGGGAGTCTCCAGAACAGATTGCTAAGACCAGTGATTAAAGGAGCCTGTTTTTGGCTAGTATAAGGAAAAATAAACTTTATAGCAATGGAATGGACTGCTTGTGAGACAATTTTCCTCAAGTAGAAGTTGTCTGACCACAGTGCATAAGCAATTCTTACATTGATTGTAAGGCTGGACTCCACGATTTTTAAGGTCCCTTCCAACACAGATATTTTGATTCTCTATATATCATTGATAATGATACTGTTGCAGGATGACATTAGAATAGATCATCAAAGTTGGCTTTGTTTTTAAGGTACATATAATGTAGAGTAGAAGCTAGAAGATTTTTGTTTATTGAAATCAATTCAACCCTCAAGGCATAAGGAAATATCTGCAAAGGGGAATAGAACAATTTATTCTCTAACTAGCCTTGTTGTTCCCCCCCACCCTTTTGCTCCTCTGCTACTTTCTATTCATGACATGAATTCCTCTTCTTATCCATCTTCTCCTTCTCCATCTTCTTTAGCTTCTAAAGCTCCTCCTCCTCGTCCTCATCCTCCTTCTCTTCTTCCTCTCCTCCTCTTCCTCTTCGTTCCTCCTCCTCCTCTCCATCGCTGTCCTCTTCCTTCTTCTTCTTCTTCTTCTTCTTCTTCTTCTCTTCTCTTCTTCTTCTCTCATCTTCTCCATCTTCTCCTTCTCCATCTTCATTAGTTTCTAAAGCTCCTTGTCATCTTTTCATTCTTCTTCTCTATTTTCTCTTCCTCTTCCTCCTCCTCCTCCTTCTTTTTCTGTCCAAACAACCAAAATGCAAGTTAATCCTATACATCTTTTGGTTTCTATAGTGGACTGTTTTTGGTGCAGTGTGTAAGTCAGATGATCCATATGTTGTTGGTTTTACTTGTGACATGACTTGTCAACATTTCTTCAAGGGATAGACTCTCTCTGTTCTATCAACCATACCTGATATCCTGCAGAACCTCAATGCTGTCTCTAAATGGCATAATGATAGGGGCAGCTAGGTGGCACAGTGGATAGAGCACTGGCCCTGGAGTCAGGAGGACCTGAGTTCAAATCTGGCCTCAGACACATAATATTTACTAGCTGTCTGACCCCTGGCAAGTCACTTAGCCTTATTGTCTAGCCAAAATAAATAAATAAATAAATGGCATATGATGTTCAATAACATTTTCTATGATCTAGTATCCTGACTACATTTGGGCTATGGCTTGCTAGTTAGAAGTCCTATTTAACAAGCAAGAGACTCAATCATTACTTACATATTATACTGTGTACGATTTGTGGACAGAAAATTAGTAATGCATTTTACAATTATTTTCTAACATATATATACACATATAATACTTATTGGGGAGAGGGCCAATGTGTGTTACCAAAAAAACCCCAAAACCTAGCTGATATATATAGGGAAGAAAAACTGGAAAATAAATTAAATTTGTTAATGCTTCAAATATACAGGCAAATTATTAATTAAAAGCTTATGCCTTTGGGCAGCTAGGTGGCACAGTGGATAGAACATTGGCCCTGCAGTCTGGAGGACCCAAGTTCAAATCCGGCGTTGGACACACAATACTGACTACTCGTGTGATCTTAGGCGTGTCACTTAACCCTGATTGCATCACCTCTCCCCCCCCCAAAGAAAAAAGCTCATGACTTAATGACAAGTGTTTGGCAGAAACCTGTTATCAAATTTGTGATGTTTAAAAATATTTTCATGAGTTTTTAATGAAGACAAACGAAAATAGACTAGACGAAAACTAGTTGAAAATGGATAACTAATTTTTATTATAACTATTATTGGTGATACTAATAGCTCCCCTGCACTTACTATCTTGTGGTTTATCCAACACTTTACATACTTTATCTCCATCTTTACAACAATCTTGTGAAATAGGCAGTTTCTTTATGGTTATCTCCATTTCATGGCTTGAGACACAGCTAATAAATGACATGGGCTAGATTTGAACCCAGTTCTTTGGATGCCAAATCTAATACAGCTATCTGTTATGAAGTTTCTCATTGGTTTTCCTTTTTGTAGGGCACATTTGTGTAATGTGTGTCCTTTTCCCCATCTCTTTTTGAGACCATATAGATTCTGTCTATATAGGATTTAGTCTCTCTCTCTCTCTCTCTGTGTGTATATATATATATATGTGTGTGTGTGTGTGTGTATGTGTATATATATGTGTGTGTGTGTGTATATATATATACATATATATATATACATATATATATATATGTGTATATATATATACATATATATATATACATATATATATACAATATATATACATATATATATACATATATATATACATAAATATATATATATATATATATACATAAATATATATATATATATATATATATATATATATATATATATATATATATGAAGTCGTCCCAATGGTTCTCAAGGCAAAACTTAGCTACCTTCCAGTTAATGCAAATAATGAATCTTGTGAATTAGTCACATTATCTGGATTGCAGTACATGTTTGAATTGGACTGGAATAAACTGCCATAGTCTACATCATTATAACTTCAAATAGTGTGAATGTATGGGACAACTTCATGGAATTCATTATTTATACTAATTAATGCTTATCTGTATACCCACGGTTCTGGCTTAAAAACCAATGGGGAGGGGAGAGGTGGTGGCACAGTGGATAGAGCACCGGCCCTGAAGTTAGGAGGACCTGAGTGCAAATCTGGCCTCAGATCAAACACTTGACACTTACTAGCTGTGTGAACCTGGGCAAGTCACTTAACCCCAATTTCCTAAAAATAAAATTTTTAAAAAAGGACCAATGAGGAAGCTCAAATCCCTGCCCTCCTCCCCCCACCCCATTTCCCAAAATGTTCCTGTTTCTTTATGGCTTGCAATCATAAGGACTCTACAAAACTTCATGGTAGAGTAGAGTAAGGGAACAGTGGAAGCAATATATCTTCCAGAGTCACTAGGTGACTAACAGCAACCCCAAAATGGATGAGCCCAGGAGACTTTGCAAGTTCCAAAAGGCCATGAGGTCCTGGGAGGCCATTAAAGCTGTTGTTGTAGTGTCTTCAAAAGTGGTCAGTTATGGTGGCAGCAACAGCAAGAGTGTGCTGGGACAAAAGGAAGGGTTGCTATTTGAGAAAGAGGAGCCATTGGAAAAGCTCTTCCTTGAAGATCTGTGTGTATATGTGTCTGTGGGTGTATATGTATATAAATATGTATAAATCTATATATCTATATATATGCTTGTGTGTATGTGCATGTATATATATGTATGTATATACTTATACATATACATATGCACACACACACACACACACACACACACACACACACACACACACACACACACATATATATATATATATATATATATATATATATATATATATACACACACACACATATACATAGGCATGTACTGTAATTCCTTTAAGCCCATCATCACTTTCTAAATGGGAAGAAAACAACCTGTCCACCTGTCCTATTATCTGATGCATGGGAAAGCATTTTTCCTTTCTCTCCTTCCTTTGGGAAACCCTAGATTAAAGCCAAAAGCAACACTAATGTAAATAGCAACTTTCCCTGTGAAGCTAAGGTGGGGTGAGGAGCCAATGGATGTTCTAATAGCTTCCAATTCCATAGCTTTGTTCTGCTGTTTGAAAGTCAGGCTTCTTCCAGAATTGAAACTTAGGAAAAGAGTAGTGTCAGGTGAAGGACAAAAATCTGTCCAGGTTGAGAGTCTTTGTGTCTTCAGCCAAGAGAGATGTAGCTAGCCATTGTACTTGATATGGGGATATTGATATAATTTTGGGGCCCTTTGCATTTGCAGAGAAACTAGGGGGCACGGTGGATTGAGTGCAGGACTGGGGGTCAGGTCCAGCCTCAGATACTTACTACCTGTGTGATCCTAGACAAGTCACTGAAC